GGGGGGGGGGGGGGGGGGGGGGGGGGGGGGGGAGTGCACATTGTACAAGACTAACGTAGAGTTCTCGCTGTTTTGCTGGGCATTTCGCTGGCCCCACAGCTGGTGGCAAGCTACCGTCGTCCCTCGAATAGAAAACATGCTGCAAGGTCATGAGAACTGCATTTGGGAAAACTTTCAGTCTAGACAAGAAGAGCCAGCACAGCTCCGCCCTCGTTACTAAGGGATATTGATGAAATTGAGATTAGTGTATACTGTATGTGAAACCTCCAAAAAAAAAAATTGGACTTGAATACCGGAACCGGAAAATGGGGAGTTGGCAGGTGAGAAAAAAAAACTAGGGTCTATTGTTTGAAAAACAAACATGGATGAGAGAGAGTAGTGTTTCAGCCTTTAGGTCTTTGGAACGAAGAATTTTATCTCCCTGTACGGCCCAATAAAGACATAGCCCAAGTAGACTACAGTGGAGTAGAGTGGAGTAGCCTAGAGTAGACAGTATAATAGAGTAGAGAGTATCAAAGAGATGAGAGAGTAGACAGCAGAGAGAAGAGAGTAGAGAGCAGAGAGCAGAGAGCAGGGAGTAGAGTAGAGAGTAGCTGAGAGTAGAGAGTAGAGTACAGGGTAGCGAAAAGTAGAGCGTGGAATAAAGTGGAATAGAGAATAGAGGGTATAACAGTGGAATAGAGCATAGAGAGTAGCATAGAGGGGAATAAAGAGTAGAGAACAGAGAGTAGAGAGTAGAGAGAAAGTTGAGTGTAGACATAGTGTAGAGTAGAGCAGAGAGAAGACAGTAGAGAAGAGAGTTGAGAGCAGTGTAAAGCAGCTAGTAGAGAGTAGAGCCGAGAAGAGTTTAGTGTCGAGTGATGTAGAGTACAGCATTGAGTAGAGTAGAGAGTAGGGTATAGTAAAATAGAGAGAGCGGTACAGTAGAGAGTAGTATAGTGTAGAGAGTACAGAGTGTAGAGTAAAGAGTAGAGAGTAGAGAGTATAGTGTAGAGTAGAGTAGAGAGTAGAGAGTAGCGTGGGGTAGAGAAGAGAGTAGAGAGTAGTCTAGAGTGGAGTAGAGAGTAGCGTAAGGTAGAGGGTAGAGTAGAGTGAGTAGAATAGAGTACAGCAGAGTAGTGTAGAGTAGAGCATAGAGAGCAGAGCAGAGTACACAGTAGAGAGCAGGCAGCAGACGATAGCGTAGCCAACAGAGTACAGAGCAGAGAGTTGAGAGTACAGTAGAGAACAGAAGAGAGAGCAGAGAGTAGAGAGAGAGTAGCATAGAGTAGACAGTAGAGAATAGAGAGGCATAAAGTTCAAAGTAGAGAATAGGGGTGGCGTAGAGTTCAGAGTAGACAGTACAGCAGAGGACAAAGCAGAGAGTAGAGTAGAGAGCAGAGCAGCATAGAGGGCCTGATATATACATCAACGTGGCGAGCCTTGTACGTTAGAGGCACTGTGGAGGAGGTGTTAAGAAGACTGAGAAACTGAATGATTTCAATGTGTCTTTGTTTTTTATTTTTATCCCTTGTTCAGGGTAATTTTTTTTGTCAAAAACACTGAAAGAAATAAGAATACAGTGAAACAAAGAATAAGAGGACACTGTTTTGTGCCATTCTGGTTTGTCTGTCTCGTTGCCTGTCTGTCCTTTCATTTTTCTTTTGTTCGCTCATCTTGTTTCTTCTTCTACTTCACGCGCTTACGCTCTTAGTCAATATACATCGTCACAAATAGAACTGCCTACGGTAAACCGTAGGCAGAGAGGGAGAAGAGGACAACAAACGAGGGGCTGTGACTAACTGTTTCGTCGGAGTTTCACCGACTCATCAGGTATATATTGTCACATCACTACAAACTAAAAGAGCGCACTTTGCGGAACAAAGAATAAAAGCAAAAAACGGGCACAGTGATAACATGCAAAAATAAAAAGAAAAAGAAAAAACAAGGGCAGATTGAAACCATTAA